CAGGATCGATTTCGACGGGACAATTCAACGGTGTTATTGATGAATTTTATGTCTTTAGTCAAGCATTAACATCGGCTGATATTTGTCGTTTAACAAATCCATAAACTTTTCTTTCAAAACTGTATAATATTAACAGAAATCTTTCACAAAAGTTTATTTTCTACATATTGAAATAAAATCACTATGGTCATTAATCTTGTATGAAGACGATGTAATCAGACATAGTCATAATGACTTTTAATAATGAGAAGCAAACGAACGTTTTTAGGTTAAGACTTATGTAAATGTCTGAAAGTGTGAGTGTAAATGAAAAAGTCATCTTCATTCTCTACGATAAATTTCTTCGTACATAATCACACATATTTGAGGGAGCGTATGGCAAAGTAATAAGTCACACCTTTCGTTTCTTTCGTTAAACACAATTGCGTATGTAAATTATATGACCTTTTCCAACTATTTTACTGAAAGATCTTATACGATTTGTTATCATGCTGCAAAAAATCTCAAGAAAAATGCGTCATCATCTTTGTGATTTGTTCCACCTAAGATCGTTTCTTTTGTTTCATTTCAAAGTCATACTGAATGTCAATATTAACTGAACTTCAAATGTCTTTTATTTAGTTCGATTCATTTATCATTTCGAAGAAAAAAAGACATTAAAAGAAAGAAAATCACAGCGATACAAGATGAAATCATATACACATATATATATATATATACGTCTTTAAAACGAAAGCATTCACTAATCTCACGCAGATGGCAATGTACACCACTGTGATCTCCAAGGGTTTGAATTGCCGTTCAATTCATTATCATCGGGAACAACTGGATAGAAAATTCGATAAATATTAGTTGTCAACATTTTCTGTAAATACGCTGCATCGAGTGTTGGCATCTGTGACGTCGGTTTCGCAGAGAGTTCAGTTAGCATTGGATCACTGTACTTCCAGTTGGCATAAACAATGTTCGTAAGATTGTTACGAAGGAATGGTTGTGCCGATGCCGGATTTTCTCCATCTGTACTGTTGATAACAGCAAAAGCTCTCATCATATCATCATCTTCATGAATAAGATTGTGACAGTGGAACATATAATCACCTTTGTGTGGACCGAATCTTACAATAACATAAATATTTTGACTTGGGCCAAGATATATAATATCTTTTGGTGAAAGTTGTTCGTAAGGTTTAACGCCACCATCACGATCACGGAGAAGAATGTAAAAGTCGACTAGATGTACATGAACAGGATGAAACCAACCACCACCTGTTCGAAAGAGCCAAAGTTCCCAGGTGTTTTGTCCGACATCTTTGGCTGCAATTTTTGCTGAATCCCAAGTCTCACCGTTAATGACCCATTGATTGCGTCTTCTTTCAAATACCATAGTTCGATGTGGTTGATCATCTTCTATCAATTTTTGAGCTGCGTCAATATCTGCGCTAGTTAAGACACGTTCGACTGGCTTTTCTGGTACGATTGATGTAAGACTTCCATCGAATTTTGCTGCTGTAGGATCGGTTTTTGTTGAGACAATGAGTTTGGCGACGTAATGACTGTAACAGAAGTATTCGACGTCTTTCATGTATTTTTCATTGATACCATTCCAGATATATAAGGTTTGGCCTGCATATGCTGAAAAGTCACAAACGATTTCATATCGTTCAGCGACACCAATTAATAGGCCGTCAGCAGGAAATGTTAAAGGTTCTCGTCGATATCCTGCGTCAGTTGCAATAATGTGACATATGTCTTGAGAAATATCTTGAAGCGCAGAGTTTTTGATTGATATGTCATACGGACGAGACACGGCAGCATTTAGAAATCGAAATCGATACCATTTTGGATCAAGATTCATGTAAGGATATGGAATACCAGACACCAAATTAATGTCACCATAGAAACTTATTTTATCGACATTGTCTTTATCGATAACTAATTGACATTCAGAATCGAGCACTTTATCTTGTAAAATCAGAAATTTCTCTTCGATATNGGATCGATTTCGACGGGACAATTCAATGGTGTCATTGATGAATTTTATGTCTTTAGTCGAGCATTAACATCGGCTGATATTTGTCGTTTAACAAATCCATAAACTTCTCTTTGAAAACTGGCTGATATTGACAGAAACTTTTCACAAAAGTTTATTTTCTACATATTGAAATAAAATCATTACAGTCATTAATCTTATATGAAGGCGATGTAATCAGATAACATGGCCATAATAACTGTTAATAATGACAAGAAAACGAACGTTTTTAAGTTAAGACTTATATAAATTTCTGAAAGTATGAGTGTGAATGAAAAAGTCATCTTCATTCTTTACGATAAATTTCTTCGTATATAATCATACATAGTTGAGGGAGCGTATGTCAAAGTAATAGATCACACCTTACATTTTCTTCCGTGAAAACACAAATGTGTGTGTAAATTATATGATCTCTTCCAAATATTTTACTGAAAGATCTTATACGATTTGTAATCATACTGCAAAAAAACCCGGAGAAAAATGCGTCATCATCTTTGTAATCCGCTCCACATATGATGCTTTCTTTTGTTTCACTTCAAAGTCATACTGAATATCAATACTAACTGAACTTCAAATATGTCTTTTATTTAGTTCGATTCATTTATCATTTCGAAGAAAAAAGACATTAAAAGAAAGAAAATCACAGTGATACAAGATGAAACCATATGCATATATACACGTCTTTAAAACTAATAGCGTTTTATCAATCTCACGTGGGTGACAATGTACACCATTGTGATTTCCAAGGATTTGAATTGCCGTTCAATTCATTATCATCGGGAACAACTGGATAGAAAATTCGATAAATATTAGTTGTCAGCATTTTCTGTAAATACTCTGCATCGAGTGTTGGCATCTGTGACGTTGGTTTTGCAACGAGTTCAGTTAGCATTGGATCACTGTACTTCCAGTTGGCATAAACAATGTTCGTAAGATTGTTACGAAGGAATGGTTGTGCTGATGCCGGATTTTCTCCATCTGTACTGTTGATAACAGCAAAAGCTCTCATCATATCATCATCTTCATGAATAAGATTGTGACAATGAAACATATAATCACCTTTGTGTGGACCGAATCTTACAATAACATAAATATCTTGACTTGGGCCAAGATATATGATATCTTTTGGTGAAAGTTGTTCGTAAGGTTTAACACCACCATCACGATCACGGAGAAGAATGTAAAAGTCGACTAGATGTACATGAACAGGATGAAACCAACCACCGCCTGTTCGAAAGAGCCAGAGTTCCCAAGTGTTTTGTCCGACATCTTTGGCAGCAATTTTTGCTGAGTCCCAAGTCTCACCGTTAATAACCCATTGATTGCGTCTTCTTTCAAATACCATAGTGCGATGTGGTTGATCATCTTCGATCAATTTTTGAGCTGCGTCAATGTCTGCGCTAGTTAAGACACGTTCGACTGGTTTTTCTGGTACGATTGACGTAAGACTTCCATCGAATTTTGCTGCCGTAGGATCGGTTTTTGTTGAGACAATGAGTTTAGCGACGTAATGACTGTAACAGAAATATTCGACGTCTTTCATGTATTTTTCATTGATACCATTCCAGAGATATAATGTTTGACCTGCATATGCTGAAAAGTCACAAACGATTTCATATCGTTCAGCGACACCGATTAATAGGCCGTCGGCAGGAAATGCTAAAGGTTCTCGTCGATATCCTGCATCACTTGCAATAATGTGACATATGTCTTGAGAAATATCTTGAAGTGCAGCGTTTTTGATTGAGATGTCATACGGACGAGACACAGCAGCATTTAGAAATCGAAATCGGTACCATTTTGGATCAAGATTCATGTAAGGATATGGAATACCAGACACCAAATTAATGTCACCATAGAAACTTATTTTATCGACATTGTCTTTATCGATAACTAATTGACATTCAGAATCGAGCACTTTATCTTGTAAAATCAGAAATTTCTCTTCGATATCGTCTAAATTCCATGGTTCACCACACCCGCCGTACTTCTGCTTCGAACTAACTATGTACAAGCCAGCCAAGCCGTAGTAAGCATTTTCAGCTGTTATGTGAAGTGCATGATCGTGGTACCATTCCATAGCTGGTCGATTATCTGGATAAACATATTCTTTGGTTTCATGTAGACATGTTTCATCGTCAGCCCATCCATCATAAGGTGCAATACTTGCAGAACCGTGATGATGAATACCAATCGGTCTTCCTGTACGAGTGCCGGTACATGGTGGAAAACTATCTGTGAAAAAATTCTCGATTTTATTGTTAAATCGAACGAGTGCTTCATGTCCGGTTGGAAGAATAAATGTTGGTCCGGGTACGGAACCGTTATAGGTGATAAATATTGTTCCTGGTTTAGATGCACATGCGGGTATAATGTTGTTGAATGGAGATAATCTCGTGTCGAAAACATCGACTGAGTAAGAAAACATACAATGATTGTCTTCACGACATTCTCTTGATAGTAGTACGTGAACTGGTGGATTTTTGAATTCATCTCGAAACGGTATAATAGTGAATGGAGTACCTGAAACGATCGACATTGTAGCGTACGGTAGGTTGAAGGATAACTGCACTATTTTCGGAAAAAAACTTGCACTTTCGTACGTCTCAATGTTAATCATATCAACCTCACGAAAGACTTTGTTGAGTTCTATCGATGCAAAGCATACTATGCCTATAATCCTTTCCTTTTCTTCTCAATAACGCAAAATACTGAATGGATCAAGTTGACTTACGGGCTTTGGCATTGGATTGACAAGCTGGTACACTATCTGGTGGTACAGTTGTTGATGTTGTTGACGATGTCGATGATGTTGTCGACGATGTTGTGGTGGTAGGATTACGTGCACGTGTGGTTGTCGTTCTTCCTATAAACGAAAAGATATTATCAAAATTTTCAGTGTTGACTTATAGACCAACGTCTAGAAAGGGGTAATACGAATGATACATATTCAAAACTGATGCCTATATTTAAGAGAATATATATTACTTGGAGGTCTCTTTGTTTTTTGTGGTCTGTTGTCTTTATCTGAATTTGGATACGGTCCATAGTTATCATCTTCTCTTTCTCGCTCGGGATAATTATCATCATCATCATCATCATCACCACTATCATCATATTTTTCTTGTGGATACTGGATGTTCGGTCGTGACCGATAGTTTCGAGCCTTTCGAAATGTACCAAAATCACCACGCATTGCACTGCCAAAACCACCTGTTATAGGACTGATCGTTGGAATACCAGAGCCCAGCACTATCAAATACAACAATAATGTATATTACAATGAAAGAAGAATAAATAAGTTAAACTCACAAGGTAGCGGTTGAAAATAGCGAAGCATATCGATGTTTCCATACAATGATGATCCGCTACCGACTAAACTTGCATAGCCTGAAGCAAGTAGCTGAGCAACCGAAAATAAGTGACCGTATGTATTGACCAATGGTGGAAGAATGTAAACTAAAGTGGTGAAAACATGTATGATGAATTGGAGAAAAGTCATAGATTAATGCTTACGGCCAGTTGGTGAATAAATGATTGTTTGTTTGGTAAATCGATCAGCAAATATAGGAACCCATGGCATAAAATTGAGGAATGGACCACGCAATGCTATAGATTAAAAATAAGAGAAAAGGTCATCGTCAACTCAACAAATTCGAGAAATCATACGGTTATGTTGGCGTGAATATCGTGCAACAGGAAAATCATATTTTTTATATGACCTTTGATTATCATTGTTCATATAGACACTCATGCGGCCCATATCTGCTGGTAGTCGATGTCTCTATAGGAAAAAACAATAAAAGATATTCCATGATAGCATGTCAATGACTTACTTCAGATCTTGTATACGACCGCAATTGGGGAACTGCATCACCTAGTTGCAAATAAGAATAAAGTCATATTTTGAAATTGCAGGATATTTCTTAGTATACTTTGATTATCTTCTTCGTTTATCTCCTTTGTCGATGATGATTTCGACGAAGCAGAGTACACCAATAAACCAGCTACAATTGAAACAAGCACTAAACTTGTGCAAAGAATTTTCATTCGATTGTTTGCAAGGGTACTCGACCACGATGATCTACACGATAAAAACATATGCAAATACACTGCGTATTTCGTTGACGCTATGTCAATGTCGCATACCGTTTGGGTGCCCGATGCTTTTTCGTCTTCTTTCCCGAAGGAAACTCCATCAGTTCTTCATCTACGCTCATCTCATTATATATGACTTTGTCTGTCGTTTGTGCCATTTGATATACCTAAGTATCTAAAACGAAAAAGTCTTTCGTTTAGTAGATCAGTAAAACACAAGTCTCAAGAAAAGCGATGACACATCTGGGCGTTGTAATTTTACTTGATGAAATACTTAACTGACTTTAGCCGTATATATATTGTCTGAACAATCTCTCTCTCTTTCTTTGTTATCTGAATGTCACTCGCGGACATAAACTCAATTTCGCATCATCTGACTTCGTTACGTATGTCATCTTATCAAAGACCAACAAATATGCTACTTCATCGCATGATTCGAGTTATTCAAAAGATATCACGCATATCATTAGTGCACTTCGCATACGAAAGAGAAACTATTATCCTCGATGCCACAGCATTACTTTCATCTCTCTCTTGAATTATCTAATGAATTGAAGAGCTTTTATCTCCATGTAAAACATCATGTGAATTTATCTACCTATGGATGCACTTTCGCTTATAAACATTTGAGCAAAAGTTTTACAAACGAATGTCAAATTCAATTTGCACTCGATGTCTTATCTAACATGCTGAAACACCACCGTCATCTTTGTTTTCGATCCTTATGTAATAATTCTTTCCCATGACATGTCAACATTGAGCAAAATATATAAATGAGAGCAAACTTGTTTGGGTTGCACAATATAGTTCGAAGAACATTTCTTCGTAGTTCCATCTTACAGTGACAATNCCGCACTTCTTTTTCGAACTAACTATGTACAAGCCAGCCAAGCCATAGTAAGCATTTTCAGCTGTTATGTGAAGTGCATGATCGTGGTACCATTCCATAGCTGGTCGATTATCTGGATAAACATATTCTTTGGTTTCATGTAGACATGTTTCATCGTCAGCCCATCCATCATAAGGTGCAATACTTGCAGAACCGTGATGATGAATACCAATCGGTCTTCCGGTTCGAGTACCAGAACATGGTGGAAAACTATCCTTGAAAAAATTCTCGATTTTGTTGTTAAATCGAACGAGTGCTTCGTGTCCAGTTGGAAGAATAAATGTTGGTCCGGGTACGGAACCGTTATAGGTGATAAATATTGTTCCTGGTTTGGATGCACATGCGGGTATAATGTTGTTGAATGGCGATAATCTCGTGTCGAAAACATCGACTGAGTAAGAAAACATGCAATGATTGTCTTCACGACATTCTCTTGATAGTGGTACGTAAACTGGTGGATTTTTGAATTCATCTTGAAACGGTATGATAGTGAATGGAGTACCTGAAACGATCGACAGTGTAACATAGGGTACGTTGAAGGAGAATTGCACTATTTTCGGAAAAAACTTTCACAGTTTCGTACGTCTCAATGTTAATCATATCAATCTCAAGAAAGACTTTGCCGAGTTCTATCGATACAAAGCATACTTTACCTATAATCCTTCCCTTTTCTTCTCAATAACACAAAATACTGAATGAATCAAATTGACTTACGGGCTTTGGCATCGGATTGACAAGCTGGTACACTATCTGGTGCTAAAGTTGTTGACGATGTCGATGATGTCGACGATGATGTTGTTGACGATGTCGATGATGATGTTGTTGATGATGTTGTGGTGATAGGATTACCTGCACGTGTGGTTGTCGTTCTTCCTATAAACGAAAAGATATTATCAAAATTTTCAGTGTTGACTTATAGACCAGCGTCTAGACAGGGGTAATACTAATGATGCATATTCAAAACTGATGCCTATATTTAAGAGAATATAAATTACTTGGAGGTCTCTTTGTTTTTTGTGGTCTGTTGTCTTCGTATGAATTTGGATACGGTCCATAGTTATCATCTTCTCTTTCTCGCTCTGGATAATTATTATTATCATCGCCACTGTCATCATATTTTTCCTGTGGATACTCAATGTTCGGTCTTGGTCGATAATTTCGAGCCTTTCGAAATGAACCAAAATCACCACGCATTGCACTGCCAAAACCACCTGTTATAGAACTGATCGCCGGAATACCAGGACCAAGCACTATCAAATACAACAGTGATATATATTACAATAAAGAGAGAATAAATAAGTTAAACTCACAAGGTAGCGGTTGAAAATAACGAAGCATATCGATGTTTCCATACAATGATGATCCGCTACCGACTAAACTTGCATAGCCTGAAGCAAGTAGCTGAGCAACTGAAAATAAGTGACCGTATGTATTGACCAATGGCGGAAGAATGTAAACTAAAGTGGTGAAAACATGCATGATGAATTGGAGGAAAGTCATAGATTAATGCTTACGGCCAGTTGGTGAATAAATGATTGTTTGTTTGGTAAATCGATCAGCAAATATAGGAACCCATGGCATAAAATTGAGGAATGGACCACGTAATGCTATAGATTAAAAATAAGAGAAAAGGTCATCGACAACTCAAAAAATTCGAGAAATCATACGGTTATATTGGCGTGAATATCGTGCAACAGGAAAATCATATTTTTTATATGACCTTCGATTATCATTGTTCATATAGACACTCATGCGGCCCATATCTGCTGGTGGTCGACGTCCCTGTAAGAAAAAAAAACAATAAAAGATATTCCATGATAAGCATGTCAATGACTTACTTCATACCTCGTATACGACCGCAATTGGGGAACTGCATCAACTAGTTGCAAATAAGAATAAAAGTCATATTTTCAAAATTGCAGGATATTTCTTTCTATACCTTGATCATTTTCTTCGTTGATGTCCTTTTTCGATGATGATTTCGAAGAAGCCGAATACACCAATAAACCAGCTACAACTGAAACAAGCACTAAACTTGTGCAAAGAATTTTCATTCGATTGCTTGCAAGGGTACTCGACCACGATGATCTACACAATAAAAACATATACAAATACAATGAGTATTTCGTTGACGCTATATCAATGTTGCATACCGTTTGGGTGGTCGATGCTTTTTCATCTTCTTTCCCAAAGAAAATTCCATTAATTCTTCGTCTACACTCATCTCATTATATACGACTTTATCCGTCGTTTGTGCCATTTGATATACCTAAATATCTAAAACGAAAAAGTCTTTCGTTTAGTAGATCAGTAAGACACAAGTCTAAAGAAAAGTAATAACACATCTGGTCATTATACTTTCACTTGATGAAATACTTAACTGACTTATGCCGTATATATATATATTGTCTGAACAGTATCTCTCTCTCTTTGTTTGTTATCTGCATGTCACTCGCGGACATAAACTCAAGTTCACATCATCTGACTTCGTTGCGTATGTCATCTTATCGAAGACCAGCAAATATGCTACTTCATCGCATGATTCGAGTTATTCAAAAGATATCACGCATATCATTAGTGCACTTCGCATACGAAAGAGAAACTATTGTCCTCGATGCCACAGCATTACTTTCATCTCTCCCTTGAATTATCTAATGAATTGAAGAGCTTTTATCTCCATGTAAAACATCACGTGAATTTATCTACCTATGCATGCACTTTCGCTTACAAATATTTGAGCAAAAGTTTTACAAACGAATATCAAATTCAATTTGTACTCGACGACTTATCTAACATGCTGAAACACCACCGTCATCTTTGTTTTCGATCCTTATGCAATAATTCTTTCCCATGACATGTCAACATTGAGCAAAATATATAAATGAGAGCAAACTTGTTTGGGTTGCACAATATAGTTCGAAGAACATTTCTTCGTAGTTCCATCTTACAGTGACAATCTTGATTTCATTGGTTTTTGTAATAACCAACTTCACGTACTGAGTTAATGCTGAATTTTTATGAATAACTCCCTCTTTTCTTCCTCTCACTTTCTACAAATATATTTTTCCATGCAAATAAGAGATAAACAAATAAGTAGCTACACATATGCGCCATCGGGTACTGACATTTTGTGAATAAGACATTATCCAAGATTATCTTTTTTCGTCAACTCACTATGAAAAAGTCATCGTGCGAACCATTTCACTTTGTGTAACACGAATTTCAATTGTGCATTCACTCTGATCTTCACGTACGATTATATCTATATTCATACATCTGAAGTTTGTTTTCGTCGTCTTGCATTCATCCTTACCTTTTGAGTCGGATGTACAAAAAAATGTTGAGGATGATGCACACAAAGTGAGTGACAAAAGAAAATAAAAATGGTGGAACATAATTTATCATAAATTATATTTTGCAACTTTCAACAAGCATAAGAAAAGGTTCGGCAGTTGATTCAGTGATTGACATCGATGATCGAACGTTTCTGTCTTGTGATGAACAATGAATAGTGCACCTCTCGAATTTTCGCTTCTTTCGTATAAGCCTTTATTTCCTTCTCACGACATTCTTCTTACCATAGTGGCGGATGATAAGAAAAATAGAAGTATTCACAAGGTGTTTGCATGGTACATTTATGGACATATTTTTAGCCTCAATCGACCCGAAAAGAAAAGCAATTTCGAGGAAAGGCCGTTCGTTCGTATGGCTGAAACAGTTTTTTGTGAAAAATGTTGATGCTGAAATTTATCGAATTCGATACAGATTTACTTGAGGATATCCATAAACGATTTCAGTACATTGTTCACTATCAGTCATTCCGAATCAGCTGCTCATGTCTTAATCGATTTGAATGTATACGATAGGCACTGTAATATGGAGACAACAATGAGACTTCATGCCTTGTATCGTAGTTGGTTGAACTCTTATAATTTTCCTTATTTCTGTCCTATAAGAACAAACCTGTGAAGATTTAAAATGGAATACCTAATTTGTTTACAGTCTTACAAATCGTCTTACTATTTTATTCCATCATAAATTCAGATGTAATCGTTAAATATATGTGTTTACGGAGTAACTTCTTATAACAAAAATACTACTACCGACGATTTTTGTATGTGAAGACAAGGATACAATTGCTTAAATCGAAACTTCACAAACAAGTAGACTAACTATAGTGAAAAGATTGATGCACTTCAGCAAAATACGATATCGATCTTCTTTTTTTTTGTCCAGTAGTTCTATTACGGCGAGGGGTCAGGTTTTAAGTTTAATTAACTATCGCAATGAATCTGAACTGTCGATGAGGGTGTGGTGTCGAGAAATTCGTTCGATTGGCATGAAAAATATCTATAGCTGTTATAATATAATCGCGCTGGATATTCAGAGCTGATCGTCTCAATATCCACTAAGACAACCAAATTGACTTCGTCAGCCAATGTTGTTACCCAATACCAAAACTATACCATACGAGATGTGAGAAATTCGTTCGGACACCTCGTTACTAGGAATCCACGCTACATCCTTCTCAACTATCTTGATGTTCAGAATGCCACGGAATGTCCGGTCAGTTGGCGAAGCGTCTTCTCACCTTTAATCGCTGGAACTTCCGCACCAATCGAGATTACCTACACTCAGATTTCTACACTTCGAAAACCGCCACGCAAGACGATTTTCTCCATTGCTGTTGAAGAGCTCGTCGTATTCAGATCAAGTTCGTGATTCGCTCGTTATCAACCGAATTCTTCTGATTTTTGGTTATATGGGTGTCGGTTTTTAAACGGATACCCGAGGTGTTAGTATAATGACATTATTCGAAACTCAGATAAACTTTCCGAATATCTCAAATCCATACATAAGGTAAGTAACGACAATACATCAAATAAAGTTTGAATAAGATCACTTGTTCTGTCTCTATTTCTTTCTATATAAGTCATTTATACACCACATGAGGACATCAGATATAATTCTTATCTCTACATGTCAATGGCAGATATGTTATTCACAGGTCTAAAGGTAAAATAGTATTTTTTTTCAGTGCATTTTACGAGGACATCATCTGAAGTTATATCTGATGTTTTCATTCATTCATATTTCATTGAAACTAGCTTTTCAAGGAATGCTAACAATTTCAGGTTAAAATTCTATGATTCAGTTTGATTGGTAAATATGTAAGAAGACCTTGAAAATTCAATCAAATGAGAATTACTCTTGAAAAAAAGAGATTATGGAAAATTTACTTCAGGATTTTGACTATGTCATTGTATTCAATTCGATAACATACGAATACATGACAATGGGAGATGTCATTTCAGACGATTTTCTCATTAGTTTTCCACATAAGAAAGATGAGAAAAACAACTTCGGAACCAATCAAACTTTTTTCTTTGAGGCATGCAATGTTTACCACTACAGATGTAAATTTATCATTTTGCTTCACTTTCGTCACGAATACGAACGTATCTCATAAACATACGTAATTATTTGAAATGTCAGATTTATTAACACATCGAAGGAAAAAAGTATGCTGAGCATCAAAAGTCAGAGTTGTATTTGATATTTCACAAGAGAAACATTTTATTTAGACAGATTTGCGATGGAATATACCAATAGTTTCCGGTGATTGGTGATGTAAACTCCATTAATCGATCGGAAATACAATTGACATTTCCGAGCATACTGTGAAGTAGACTTTCGAATTTGATTGGATTGGATGCAAATGCGACAAAATAAAGCCCATTTGTGATCAGGTCGCCATGTGGGAGAGATTTTCGGACGATTTGAATTTCGCCATTCGGCCCGAGCAGATGTGTCCGTCCGACATGAGATGAAGGCANAAAAATGTTGAGGATGTTGCACACAAAGTGAGTGACAAAAGAAAATAAAAATGGTGGAACATAATTTATCATAAATTATATTTTGCAACTTTCAACAAGCATAAGAAAAGGTTCGGCAGTTGATTCAGTGATTGACATCGATGATCGAACGTTTCTGTGTTGTGATGAACAATGAATAGTGCACCTCTCGAATTTTCGCTTCTTTCGTATAAGCCTTTATTTCCTTCTCACGACATTCTTCTTACCATAGTGGCGGATGATAAGGAAAATAGAAGTATTCACAAAGTGTTTGCATGGTACATTTATGGACATACTTTTAGCCTCAATCGACCCGAAAAGAAAAAGAAAAGATTGCTTTGATATTGTCACCTACATCAAAGTTCATATTACAATATCTATTTATAAAGATGATTCATCATCGTCAAAAAAAAAGAAGAGCAACTTTGAGGTGAGGTCGTTCGTACGACTGATAAGTTTTTTGTGAAAAATGTTGATGCTGAAGTTTATCGAATTCGATACAGATTTACTTGAGGATATCCATAAACGATTTCAGTACATTGTTCACTATCAGTCATCCCGAATCAGCTGCTCATGTCTTAATCGATTTGAATGTATACGATAGGCATTGTAATGTGGAGATAACAATGAGACTCCATACGTTGTATCGTAGTTCACTGGATGTTTTACAATAAATAACATTGGCAGGGCTCTTATATTTTTCCTTATTTTAATCCTATAAGAACAAATCTATGGAGATTTAAAATGAAACGCCTAATTTGCTTTCAGTCTTACTATTTTATCCCTATCCTAAATTCAGACGTAATGGTTAAAAATATGCGTTTACGGAGTAGCTTCTTATAACAAAAATATTACTATCATTTTTACCTTCATCGTTACAAGAGGAGTGGTTAAATGTGTTTGTAATAATCCCACAAGGATACAATTGTTTAAATCGAAACTTCTCCAACCAGTAAACTAAGTATAGTGAAAAGATTGATGCACTTAACCAAAACACGACATCGATCTTCTATTTTTGTTTTTTGTCTAGTAATTCTATTACGGCGAGGGGTCAGATTTTAAGTTTAATTAACTTTCGCAATGAATCTGAGCTGTCGATGAGGACATGATGTCGAGAAATTCGTTCGATTGGCATGAAAAATATCTATAACTGTTATAATATAATCGCGCTGGATATTCAGAGCTGAACTTCTCAATATCCAGTAGGACAACCAAATTAACTTCGTCAGCCAGTTTTGTTACCCGATACCAAAACTATACCATACGAGATGTGAGAAATTCGGTCGGACACCTCGTTACTAGGAATCCACGCTACATCCTTCTCAACCATCTTGATGGTCAGAATGCCACGGAATGTCCGGTCAGTTGGCGAAGCGTCTTCTCACCTTTAATCGCTGGAACTTCCGCGCCAATCAAGATTACCTACACTCAGATTTCCACACTTCGAAAACGGCCACGCAAGACGATTTTCTCCATTGCTGTTGAAGAGCTCGTCGTATTCAGATCAAGTTCGTGATTCGCTCGTTATCAACTGAATTCTTCTGATTTTTGGTTATATGGGTGTCGGTTTTTAAACGGATACCCGAGGTGTTAGTATAATGACATTATTCGAAACTCAGATAAATTTTCTCAATATCTCAAATCCATATATAAGGTAAGTAACGACAATACATAAAATAAAGTTCGAATAAGACCAGTTGTTCTGTCACTATTTCTTTCTTATAAGTCATTTATACACCACGTGAGGACATCATATATAATTCTTATCTCTGCATATCAATGACAGATATGTTATTCACAGGTCAAAAGGTAAAATAGTATTGTTTTCAGTGCATTTTACGAGGACACCATCTGAAGTTATATCTGCTGTTTTCATTCATTCATATTTAATTGAAACTAGCTTTTCAAGGAATACTAACAATTTCAGGTTAAAATTCTATGATTCAGTTTGATTGGTAAATATGTAAGAAGACCTTGAAAATTCAATCAAATGAGAATAACTCTTGAAAAAAAGAGATTATGGAAAATTTACTTCAGGATTTTGACTATGTCATTGTATTCAATTCAATAACATACGAATACATGACAATGGGAGATGTCATACCAGACGATTTTCTCATTAGTTTTCCACATAAGAAAGATGAGAAAAACAACTTCGGAACCAATCGAATTTTTTTCTGTGAGGCATGCAATGTTTACCACTACAGATGTAAATTTATCATTTTGCTTCACTTTCCTCACGAATACGAACGTATCTCATAAACATACGTAATTATTTGAAACGTCAGATTTATTGACACATCGAAGGAAAAAAAGTATGCTGGGCATCAAAAATCAGAGTTGTATTTGATATTTCACAAAAGAAACAGTTTATTTAGACAGATTTGCGACGGAATATACCAATAGTTTCCGGTGATTGGTGATGTAAACTCCATTAATCGATCTGAAATACAATTGACATTTCCGAGCATACTGTGAAGTAGACTTTCGAATTTGATTGGATTGGATGCAAATGCGACAAAATAAAGCCCATTTGTGATCAGGTCGCCATGTGGGAGAGATTTTCNTTTGATATTTCACAAGAGAAACATTTTATTTAGACAGATTTGCGATGGAATATACCAATAGTTTCCGGTGATTGGTGATGTAAACTCCATTAATCGATCGGAAATACAATTGACATTTCCGAGCATACTGTGAAGTAGACTTTCGAATTTGATTGGATTGGATGCAAATGCGACAAAATAAAGCCCATTTGTGATCAGGTCGCCATGTGGGAGAGATTTTCGGACGATTTGAATTTCGCCATTCGGCCCGAGCAGATGTGTCCGTCCGACATGAGATGAAGGCAGTTTCGGTTCGATTTCCAAACTGAAATCTCCCATCGTTCTTCCGATGACATCCACTTTTTGCTGTTGCGTCATTCTAATTATTCAAAAAGAGTATTTCTTTATTTCTATTTCAATGACATCAACATACTCGTTGAATTTCGTTAGATTATGTATCCATTTTTGTGTTAACCCAAAAGATCCTCCGACATGGACGTCCTCATCATTCTGCACTGCGATAAGCGCCGCTGCTGCCTATAAGAAAACGATCGTGTAAGGAAAAAATGATATTTTCTCGAATGAAATCGCATACTCTTGCTGTGATGCCTTCTGGGTTATCATTTCCATCTTCGAATCCAATGAAGTCTTTCGAAAGTTTTGATAATTTCGAACTCATATATGCGAAACCGAATGTATCGTCTACTTTAATAATAGATTTCAGTGGAATTAACTGCATGAATTGTCGACCTAATTCATAGCAAAGATCTTTTCGATTACTTCTTATGTCGAGAAATACATCTCCTCCTAGAATAGGAATTCCATACGCAACATGAATATCATCAATTGATGGAATTAACAATACCCGTGCTTGGCATGTATCTTCCTGTTGGGCCACGCTTCTCTCTATATTCCATAAAAGCTCTTGGAAAAGAAATATTCGCTTGAGCCAGCCATATCTGGGTTCTTTCATAACCAAACCCTAGGGTTGTATTAATAGTCGCATCGCGATGTAAAGAAAGAAGCGTGTTTTTCAGTTGAGGTAGTTTCTGACAAGCTTTCCAAACACTATCTTCATCTTCATTCGATATATGAACTAGTAAAATATGTCAGACATGCTGCCGTTCATCGAGGTCGATTATTTTACTTACGAATGATAAATAGGCCGTGTTCATAAGGGATAGATGGAATTAAGATTTGCTGTTGACAGCGACAGTTTTCGAATGTGACTGTATCGTTACCATCGATTTCTCCTTCTTCATTGTCAACTTTAAAAAAAAAGCTTGTGAATAATTATTCAAATTTTCTGATTGACTGCTCTTCGGTGAACATCAATGCTCGATTCATCACATCTTATTCGAGATTTGACTGATGAAGATCTTTTTCTTACCGACTTCGACTTCCGGTACAATTGTCGTTACAATCTGAATGTTGCTTTGATCAAGAAAGTACCTTCCACAGACTATTGAAGTAGTGTTTACGAAGGTTGTGGTTGAAGACGTAGTTATTGGTGTTGTGCTACGGGAACTGGTAGTAGAAGTACTCACACCATGAGCTAAAAGTAGAAAATATAACAGATAGAAAGATGATGTTCGCAAGAGGATTTCATCCATAAAAATCAAACATGCTTTTTTTCTCATTTAATCTGTGAATGAGGTGCAATAGTGATGTTTCACGTTACTTGTTGTTGTTATACTTGGTTCCTTTGATTGCTGTACAGGATGTGCTGGTATTGTATAAGGATACTCTTTGTCATCGTCTTCTCCTTCTCCTGCCTCATTTTCATTTTCTTCCTCATCTTCTTCTGCCTCGCGTTGTTCGGCACTCGACTCCTCTGATGGATATGGAGCGTAATCACCCAAAGGTCTTTCTTGTCGTTGCGGAATGTTGAACCGTTCATAATTCGTTCGAAATCCACTGGTAAAACCACCCGTTCGGGAGCTTATCCGTGGTATTCTTTGTCCATGTACTAGAAAAAACAAGAAAAAATACATCCGATAAAAATGAATTTAAATAAAAACGAACGTGGTGTTGGTTGAAAATGCGATAGCATATTAAGATGAGCTAACGATCGATCAGTACCACTCGTGAAACTAACATATCCATACTTCAGTAATTCACCAATCGAATAAAGCTCATTATAGCGATTTATCATTGCAGGCATGATGTATACTGAAAA